AATCAATGAACCACTAAATTTTGTTAGAGGGTTTATACACATGACCATCCTTTTATTTATTTTTTAATTTTAAAATTCATTTCTATCACTTTAATTTATAAAATTTGTTATTTACCCTTTTTTTCTTATATATAAATGATAGCCCATCTCTAGCAAAATAATTATTCAAAATAATCCAATTTATTAATCTTGTAAAAATTAATCTTTTGATGAAAAATAATAATATTTATTTTTCCATATATAAATAAAAGGGTATTTAGAATGCAATATTTTCAAACAACTCTATTGAAAACATTAGCCATTACATTTAAATCCAAATTTTACTAATTTTAAGCTTGTTTTAAAAAATGGAGATAGAAAACACAACAAAAATAAATTTGAAGTAAAACTATAGGAGAATGCAATGAATTTTAACTTTTTTTTGTAATTATAAGAAAGTATTTAGCTACAAGTGCAATAAATATATCATTTTTAATTGATCTAGATTTTCTTTGGAAAAGTTTTTTATTACTTTATTGTTTACATCATAAACATAATTCTGTTTTATCCTTATTTTTTCATTATTTTAAATAAATTTTTATACTGAAAATTTACTTTCTCCAGCAACTTACCAAAAGAAATCTAAATCAACTGAATTATGATAAGTATGTGAATACTTTTTGACCTGCTAAATTATATTTCTGCTAACCTGTAGAGCCTTCACAATAATTTTTCAAAAAAAAAATCTATAATACTAGCAAAAATTTTTATTTTGTTCACAGTAATTTCATAATAATTTTTGCATTCAGTTTTTTACTCGAACCCTAAGGTTTCGTTTTGGACGACTTTCTTACTGCTTCTTAAAGCAACTTTCTAGTACAAAATTTTTAATTTTTTTAAATAAAAAACTATTTTAAAAAGCAGCAACAAAGCCGTACCAAACGAATCCTAAGTTAATTTACCTTTAAAAAATCATGTGACAGACAAGTAAAAAATTCAATGACTATTTGTCGTCTTTCTTTGGCTTTCTGTAACTTTCTTCAATGTGTTTTGCTTCTGAAGACCATTCCTTGAAAAGCTTCTTTATGTTTGGGACATTATAGTTCTGAGCAACAAAGATTCCACAGCCAATTCCCATTAAAAATGAGAAGCTATTCGTGAATATCCCCATCTCAATTTGCACGCCTCGGAAGAAGAAATCTTTTGCTGCCAATTCAAAGAAGAATATGATTGTTGAGACAGATGATGAACAATAGGCTGATTCAAGACAAGCTATTACTGCATTAAGGCTTCATTTGTGACGGCTTTCTTCCTGCTTCTTAAAGCGGATTTTTTGTACTAAAAAGCCGCTTTAAGAAGCAGAAAGAAAGCTGTCCCAAACGAAGCCTAAATCACTGTAAGTTGGACTACAAAGCAGGCTGATTAAAGACATTCTGCTATCAAATTTTCATTTATTAGAGAATCCATTTGAATCTGCAACAGAGCTAATTTACCAAGAAAAAAAGTATCATACAGAAAGAAATCAACGGCAGAATAAATCAGAACATAATTTTTTGCACAAAATTATTGGAATGGTAACTATGAAATTATACTTATGATGCTCTCCTCTTCATAAAGAATAATCTAAGCAACTGAAAATATAAAAAAAAATTCAAAACTACTTTAATGAAATAGCCCTCAAATTCTCAAAATCATCTGCGACAAAGGCTTCGTTTGAGATAACTTTCTTACTGTTTTTTAATTCTTTAAAAAATAGTAAGAAAGCCGTCCCAAATGAAGCCTAAATCTGAGCATCTTCTTTTTTTTGTAGGACAAGAAAAATTAAGCAACACAACTTAATCAGCAAGAATTGTTGATACATTTAAGTTGAAACTAATCAAATGTAAGTTTAAGCCAACAAATGACCATCTTGATCAACTCAGTCAACCATCTTAGTCAATAAGAGAAACTAAACAAAATCAAACAAAAAAGAAATTAATATTTTACACTGGCATTCACATAACACAATTATAATAATCTTTAGTTTCTAGAAATAGTTTGTAACCTTTCAAAATTAAATTTCAACGAGATTAATTAAGTTGGTTAAGATCACAACACAATCAATTGATTCACAAGGGATTTGTTGATCAATTTTATGATGGGATGAACCCATCACATAATTTATCGTGATACTCCAACAATGACAAATCTACTCTCCACCTCTAGCTTTGCTCTACCATAGCCATCCTCTCACTCATTGCCCTAGAGCTCATCCGCACATTTGTTGTTAAGTGTTGCAGAGATGAGGATGCTTAG